AGGTGGCATAATAAGGTGAGCAATATTGAGGTGAGGCTTCGGTCGAGTGCTAGGTAAGGATGGGAAGCCAATCAACGATACTGTGAAATTAGACTGACTGAAATGGTTAGGACATGTGTTACATATACATGTTTAGCCATCACCTGCCTCGACGGGTATATTAGCTGACATAGGGTCAGGCTGAAAACGAGCTGGCGGTGGTCAAACCAAAACATGGCACCAGTCAATGAAATCTATAACAGTTAATTTAAGCCAGCCACGTAGGAAGGTGTAGACTTCCTGAGTGGTTGTGGTCCTCGGGGCGGTAAAATCCAATGGTTGGAAACAGCTGGTGATATGGCTCAAAATCGTTCTCAGTGGCCCTCACAAAGATGCATCCACTCCTTGTGACTTATAATACAGAACGAAACTATGTTGTTCTTCGTTATTACCATTACTTCGTCTCATACCTCTGTTTACTGCTGCTATTTTGCATTTCTTCTCTTGGTTTGTGTGCTACAAGGAGGGAGTGTGGTAACTCGAACTGCTGCACATCTGTGCAAAGTTCTATGTCAAAAGCAGACAGACAGAATGTTAGCTGTCACAGGATAAATCAGGTTGGAAAAGAGCTAGGGTTGGTTAAAACAAAACATGGCTCCATCAATCAATGAAATCCACAACAGTTAGTTTAAGCCACATAGGGAGGAGTAGACTGTGTGGCTGGTTGGGAGCCTCAGATGCTAATAACCAATCACGGTTGAAGACAACTGGTGATATGGCTCAAGAGTCTCGTTCTTAATGGATGGCTCAGATGTATTCACTCTGTGATTATTATTATTGTTATTATTATTATATCCTTTAATTCCTAGAGGAACATAGGGTTTCAGCTGCCCATCTCTATTGCCTTCTGTTTTCTGCCAACTTTTTCAACCCGCTGCAAGTCTGCCCACATGCTTTCATCTCCTCTTCACATGACCTCCTCCAAGTCACCCTTCCACTGACGACCAACTCACCGCTTCCTATTCGGTCGGATTCCACTCGAGCAGTGGCTTGTCTAGTGATGTCAGTCACTTGATGGCTTCCTCAGCGTATAGCCAATCCACCTCCATTCCTTGCTGCTTATTTGTTGCGCAATCGGTTCCTGCTGTGTTGGCTCGCTCCCAGAGATCTCTGTTGCTGATCTTTTCAGGCCGGCCATCTGATCTTGAGTATTGAGCGAAGACAACTTTTAATGAAGGTCTGAAGTTTGTTTGAGTTGATCTTCATGACGCGCCAGGTCTCTGATCCGTATAGTAGCACTGACTTCACATTGGAGTTGAAAATCCGGATCTTATTTTCATTTCATGCTGAGTGCTGTTGACCTCCACACAGACTTGATGTGAGTAATGAAAGCTTGTCTTGCTTTTCCAATTCTGGCTTTGATATCCTCGTCATTTCGTTCCGCTTGTAGTTGAAACGATGCCTCCCAGGTAGGTAGGTGAAGGAGGTTGTTTCTTTCAGGTTCCTCCAATTTATGCTGGCTGATTGTTGTCTGTTGTTGTTGCTGTTGGTGTTGGCCAGGAATCTTCATCACCTCTGTTTTCTCTTTGTTCACCTGAAGTCCTATCTTCTCTGGATGCTTCTTCTGCCAACTTGTTGCCTTTCACTTGCATGAATATCTTCCAGTTTGTGGGAAATTAGACATATATCATCGGCGAAGTCCATATCCTCCAAGTTTTTTGTGTGAGTCCATTGTATGCCTGTTCCCTCGTTGGCTGCCGTTGTCTGTCGCATTATCCAATCTACTGCAATCAGAAAAATCATTGGCGATCAACACTCTGTGATTTGTTGTATCCAATAAAACTCTATTGTTCTTCCATATTACTATTTTGTTGCCTCAGTCACCCTTTTTTTTATTATTTCTCTTTCAAATTTCCCTCCTATCTCTTTTCTTGATCTGTGTGATACATGGAGGGAGGGCGTCAACTTGAAGTGTTGCACATCTGTGCAAAGTTTTACGTTGAAATCAGCCAGTCAGTCAGTCAGTCTACTCACATGACTGGAGCATTTGCTTAGGTGGTTGAAACAAGCTAAAATCAAGGTTAATAAAGAGCATCTGATAGACTACGGATATGACAATAAAACTGTTAAGTCACTCATTGTTTTCGCTAGACAAACAAGCAAAGAGATGCGTGAGTTTGCAGAGATTTGTGCAACTGGAATTTATAAACCCAATCTCTGTGTATAGAAGGAAATGTTGGTCACTTTGATTCCAGCGTTGTCATATCTTTTGCTTATTCATTGCTATTGTTATTATTATTATTCCATTTGCAATTCTTGATATCTCCAAGTTTTTTCTCTGATAGCTGATTGTTTATTTAGGTTATGTAGATAAACCATAGTGCATTATTAACGTATTATTAATCTCTCATAACCCCGTTTCCCCTTATCTCTCAGAATATGACCTGAAAAACATTCACACCTGTTGTTTTACCTGATTGCTTCAATGTAGGTTACTTCCTTATCAATATATGTTTGTTTATTAGATGTGTCACACAGTGAGTGAAACAGTAATTATTGTTTACTGGATGACGTTTCGAACAAAAGATTGTTCATAATCATATCATCAATGATAATCACACGACTTTGAAACTTCAGTTTTATAGTTTTCTTTGTTCTCTCCTACTCGTTGTCGTAGGGGGTAGTAGAATTTTCCAGATATCTGGCTGAACAGGCGTTGAATCATTCCTATTACTCGTGTTTGCAGTTGATTCGATGAACAAAGCTTCGGTTACTAATCTCTCCGTACACCCTGTGACATTAGATTTTAAAACTGTCATCCTATCCCATCCTATCGTATGGTTGTGTGTAATTGCAGGTAGTGGGTGCTATAGCTGAACTATTTTCTAGATTTCTTATCTTGTTCGGGTCAGCTAATCTAGATTTTCCTAGGGTTTTATGCTCCTCTAGTCTGACTGACTCCACCTGTTCGACTACTTAAACCTATGTGTTATTTGACCTGACAATCATCGCAGGCAGGGGATTAGATAAACTAAATTGTTTTGTTTAATTTACTCGACAGGATTGATCCTTTAACCGACAAAGCTTGTTTCTAATTGAGTTTGTGGTTGGTTTGAATGCCAGTCACTTTTATTCCTGCCTTGTTAAGAATTTTGCGGAAGGTGGTTTCCGAGGTTCTTCCTTGTATGGAATTATTACTGATGATTTAGATTCCTTATTGTTGATGTTGTCTTGCGCATGTTTAACATGAATGTCGTCATTAATATTACTATATTATCACTATTATTATTATCACTATCCCTGCTCCTATTATTATTTTATTTTTACATTTTCCTACATACTTTCTGATTCATTTTTCTGGGTAATTATTAAGTTTCAAAGCTTCCCTCATATATGCCTCACTTCGTGTCTTAGATTTTCATTGGTACTACTTAGCTTTTGTGCTCTATCGTTTAAATGTTTCACCAGTCCTATTTTTACTGACATAGGATGGGATGATTGGAAATCCAAATATCTGTTTGAATGTGTGGCTTTCCTATAAACACACTAGTGTTTAACTTTGCATCTTCTTTCGTTTTTACTCTACAATCTAACATTGGAAGTTCCCCCTCCTTACTTTCCAATTCATAAGTGAATTGAATTGCCTCCATCTTTGAGTTAATGTGTTCGAAATATCTGTCTATATCCTGTGTCCTAAGTATAGTGAATATGTCATCTACATACTCTCGCCGTACTTATGGGTTGGGGCTGAACGTTTCAATCGCTGTCTTTTCCCACCTATCCATGAATATATCTGCCACGATCGGGGATACTGGTGACCCCATGGCAACTCTCTCAGTTTGTTTGTATGTGTATCCGTATACATGGAGGTATTATGACGTGAGTTACCAGAATAAATGCAGTTCCACGCAGGAATCCTTTTGAACACGTAGGTCAGGTTTCAGTCATCTTCTTGAGACCTTCTAAACAAACTGAAGAAGACTTGAACTGTTTTGTTTGTTAAGTACGTTGTAACACTCTCCCAATTTCCGACGGAGGTTGCATGTAAGAAATTCCTAAATAAACACGTCATAGTCTGCCCAAAATCAAGTACAAATATCTGAAATACGGATTTTAATAGGTTGAAGATCCGGCTTTTCAACTCCAATGTGAAGTCAGTGCTACTATACGGATCAGAGACCTGGCGCGTCATGAAGATCAACTCAAACAAACTTCAGACCTTCATTAACAGTTTTCTTCGCTCAATACTCAAGATCAGATGACTGGCCAGAAAAGATCAGCAACAGGGATCTCTGGGAGCGAGCCAACACAGCAGGAACCGATTGCGCAACAAATAAGCAGGAAGAAATGGAGATGGATTGTCCATACTCTGAGGAAACCATCAAGTGACTGACATCACTAGACAAGCCACTGCTCGAGTGGAATCCGACCGAATAGGAAGCGGCGAGTTGGTCGTCTGTGCAATGGTGACTTGGAGGAGGTCATGCGAGGGGGAGATGAAAGCATGTGGGCAGACTTGGAGCGGGGTGAAAAAGTTTGTGGCAAACCGAACGCAATGGAGACGCGCGGCTGAAGCCCTATGTTCCTCTAGGAACTAAAGGATACAATAATAATAATAATAGGTTGAAGTACAACGCACTAATCAATTGCTCATCTTGCTTAGGCATAGTACCTCTTTCTCCATCTCATTTTATTTGCGTTTTTTTTCACCCTTTGCATCCTGAGTAGGATATAGAGTTTAAAGCCTTGAAATTTCACTAGCGGTGATTTTTTCACTCCATAGGGTTGTTAACCTCATGCCTAACCTTAATTCTTCCAGGTTCACTGTCAGTTAATGAACTAGTCGAGGTTCTGCACTGTTTCGGGTGGGATTTGAATTTGAACCTTTCTTCTACCTGGAGAGCATCCTACCCTTGAACCATCGACACTTACCGTTATCGTTTAGTATCTGTGTACAGGCATATAAACATACATATTTTTATAAAATTTCGTTTGTTCTTTCTCTTTTTTTGTATTTACAGAAGATCCCTACATTCCTAGTTATATGGATCCAGCTAATGGTCCTGAACCATGTGTTGTCTGTGGGGATAATGCTACCGGATTTCATTATCGTGCTATGACATGTGAAGGTTGTAAAGGATTTTTCCGACGTTCAGTACAAAAGAAACTTGTCTACACGTGTAAATTTAATGGAAGGTGTTCAGTTTCAGATAAACAGAATAGAAACAGCTGTCAAAAGTGTCGTTTCGATCGATGCATTAAAGGTGGTATGGCTAAAGATTGTAAGTTTACAGGGCTGATTGTTTTATACGCTATGAGGCATAATAATTTTATGAGGGTTGATGATGGTACTGAATTGCCTGTGTTGAAGTAGACATTACTATTATTATTGTTCCCTTGGGTTCCTAGTGGAACACAGGGCTTCAACTGCACGTCTCCACTTACCACTTCTGTCTTCTGCTGTACTTTTCACCGGCATCCATGTTAGTCCATACTTTCCATACCCCTCTTCACAAGATCTCCTCCATGTCACCCTTGCACTGACGTCCCACTCGCCGCTTACCTTTCGGCTTGATTGCACTCGAGGAATGGCCTGACGCGCGCGCGATGTCACCCAGCGGTCTCCTCAGCGAGTGTCCGATCCATTCAATCCACTTTCTCCCGCATATTTGTTGGTTGGCGATCGGTTCTTGTTATGTTTGTTCCTTCCCGTAGTTTCTTGTTGGTGATTCTTTCCAGCCTGGCCATCTGATCTTCAGTATAGAACGAAGACAGCTGTTGTTTGATGAAGGTGTGCAACAGGCTGTTGGAAATATTCTTTGTTACCCGCCCGCCAAGTTTCTGATCAGTATAGAAGAAGAACTGACTGACTTGACGTTGTTTGTATTAAAAACCCGAATTTTGTTGTCGATGCTGAGTGACGAAGATTTCCAGATTGATTTCAGGTTGATGAATGTGTTTCTTGTCTTCCCAATTGTCGATTTGACATCCTCGTCCGTTCCTCCTGTAGTTGACACAATGCTCCCTACATAAGTGAATGAATGAGGTTACCTCTTTCACATCCCTCCCGTTGATGGTGATTGGCCATGGATGTTGCTGCTGTTGTTGTTGTTGGTTTGTTGGTTATTTTCATCACCTCCGTCTTGTCTGTGTTCACCTGGAGTCCTGTCTTCGCCAGCTGCTTCTTCGACCAGTTTGTCGGTTTTCGCTTGTAAGTCTTCGACTTTGTATGACATCAAATATAAATCATCCACACGCGAAATCCAGGTCTCTTTGGGTTCTTCACGTCTGTCTGTCCAGGATATCCCTGCCTGCTCGTTTCCCGCTCACTGTCTGACGCATAATCCAGTCCACCACAATCAGGAATATCATTCACTGGTGATAATAAGCAAGCAGCCTTGTCTGACTCCTGTGTCTACTCCAAACGCCTCGCTGAATTTTCTGTTGTGGATCACTTGACATGTGCCGTTGTTGTACAGCACATAGTAGAGAAATAAATGAGTCAGGATTTCTGTTGTCGTTGGAGGGTTGGTGTTCAGTAGTAGTTCTGTTTCCGCTGTTGGTATTATTGGGCGCATTGTATGTGGCGGTCAATTTAGAAGCCTTTTGAAGTGTTCAGTCCAGTGTTTCCCTTACTCTACCTCTTTGGTGATTGGATTTCCATTGTCATCCTTCACTGGCTTAATTCGTGTTGACCTATTCTTCGATAGGAACCTAGTTGTTTCGTAGAGTGCTGCGAGGTCGCCTTTGCCTGCAGCTTGTTCTGCTTCACTTGCCATAGCTCCATAACATTTTCTTTTGTCTTCCTTGGCACTCTTCTTTGCTCTTTTGTTCAGTGTATTGTACCTCGCATTCAACTCCTGTTTTTGTTCCTCGTCGGTGCACTGGATAATCTTTTGTTTCAACGTCCTTCTCTCTTCTATTAGTTTCCAAGTGTCCGCAGTGAGCCACTGTTTGTCCTGCCTCTTCTTTCTGCCTAGAACTTCCATGCAGGTTTGACTTCACACCGCTTTCAGGCTGCTCCAGTGTTTTTCAACGCTGGTGACTTCGCCTTTTTCCTTATGTTTGCAGTAAAGATGTCCTTTGTAGCCTGATCCTTCAGTTTATGAGTATTGAACTTGACTTGTGGTTAGTCTGCAGCTCCTGTTTCTGTGAATCAAAGTTACTACTAAGTTTAAAACCTATCTAAAATTTAGCATTTCATTTCAAATTCTAATCAATAAATTCACTTTTGTATAAAATTTATTTCAGTGGTATTGGATGAAGAGAAACGCTTAGCAAAACGTCGTCTTATTGAAGCTAATCGTGCACGTAAACGTGCTGAATCCGACAGTGCAATGCAACAAGGCCACTTGACTTCAGGTCCAAGTCCACCGAAACAAACCAGCTTCTCACAACAACAACAACAACAACAACCATCACTACAACCACCATCTGTTCAACAGATTCCTGTTACTCCATCACCTCTTCTATCGTCTCCATTAGTCAGTCAACAAAATCCACTGAATCATCAAATCAGACAACAACCACAATCACAACAAATTAGATCACCATTAGTTTCAACAACAAATCAACAACGTCCTCCTGTGCTACACACCAGTTATCCAACAACAATAACTACACAAACAGGAATGATGAATTTCACTAATATATCATCAAATGATGGGAATTCAACTCACCAACTGCATATGTGTACAAATCTTAGTCCAAAACCAACAGGTTCATCGACAACCTGTGTGACTAGTTTCGCTCGACATGATTCTACATCGGCACTTCAAGGAATATACGATCCAAATTGTGCTATGCTTCCATTGTTACAAACTTCACCGACAAGAAATCAATTTATCTATTCAGATGGCAGTTCTCCAGTACATCATCACCAGCAAGGTCATCATTATCTAAGTCCTAATCATCATCAACCTTCACCGGCTTCATTTCATCAGCATCCAGAGCCACCGATAGTACATTCTCTACCAGCTCCAACTACTGATATGCTGTTGAATAACGCATCGCATTCAAATTCTTTGATAAACATCACATCAAATCTTCAAATGGACCCTAATACTAATATTTATTGGCCAAATAATTCATGTGTAAGTGATGGAGTAATGGAGAGTACATTTCATCAACCTTTAACCACGTTACATAACAATAATAATAATAATAGTAATGACAGTGTTGGTCAAATGCATCAACAGGTTCCAGCATCAAACACTTCCGGACAACATCATCAAAACAGTATGATTCATACAAATGTTGTAACTAATTCCACATGGGATAGTGAACAGTTTACATCATCGATTATATCTACTGGAAGTCATATTTCACAATGTTGTCCTGGAAATATAGTCAGTGAAACTCTATCGTATACGTCAAATCCACAACAACACTTTCAACATGTTGAACAGCAATCGCCTCACGATCACCAACACCATCAACAGCACCAACAACAAGAGCCATCTCCACCTCAATCAGTTACACCGTTGAAACATCATCCAGAAGTTACACTAGTTATGCAAAATACAAATTCTTTGAATATTTTTCAAACAGATCCACCAATTCTAGGGAGTAGTTCAACACTTAACAGCACCAACAACGACAGTAACAGTACTACTACTACTACTAATAATAATAATGAAATGAATAATATGAAATTGATTCAATTAGGGGATGAAAATTTTACCACATCGATGACTTCAATGGTGAATACACCGTCTGATATTAATTCATTATATCCAACATCTTATTCCTCCTGCTCCTTGTCATCATCAGCATCGGCATCATCATCATCGGCTTCTTCTTCATGTTCCAGTTCTTCATCAATCGCCTCGTCTTCATCATCATCATCTAATTATTCAATACCACCAATAGGTAAAGAAGGAGAGGAAAAATTTCCTATAATTTTCAAGTCAGATAACTCATTCAGTGGGACAGATGAACTATTTCTTTGGACAATTGATGATCAAAATTTAACTGATTCAATTCGTAATGCTTATGAATCGACATATTTTGATTCGGTAAGTTTATGTATATCTATTGTATGGTTAATATTTCTCTATTTGTAGGTATGTAAATTGTCGGCTTGAGCATTCGATTTCCCGCCAGCGGAGTCCAGACCCAAGTCCCCGCCCTGCAACTGGGCAGTGTTATCAGACCTCACACGATGATGCTTATTAATGATCTTATTCCATTTTGTTCCCAGTGGAAGCATAGGGTTTCAAACCCTGAGCTTTGGAGTTTCAATAGCAGTGGTATTTTATACAGCATGGGGTTGCTAGTCTCACAGCCAACCTACCAGGGTTACTACCTGCTAGGCGAAGAAAAGGTGTGCATCAGCTAGGGATCCCAAGCCGCAAGAAAACTTGTTTGGCTGGCCAGTGTTCCACCACTGAAGTACCAAGAAGTATTGAGGTCAGGCGTCGAGGGCTAGATAAGGAGGGGAAATCAATAGGTGAGGCTATGAAGTTATACCAATTGAGGTGGTTAGGACACGTATAACGTATACCTAGCCATCGTCTTCTTCTATCGACGGGCAATGTTAGCTGACGAAGAATGGATCAGGTTGGAAAAGAGCGAATGATGATCAAACCAAAACATGACTTCATCAGTCAATAAAATTCATAACGGTTAGTTTGAGCTACGTAGGTGGTGTAGACTTCCTGACTGGCTGAGGTCCTCGGGATGGTACAAACTAATAAAGGTTGGAGATAATTGGTGGTATTAATGAAAACAAAACACATAGATCAACGAAGAGTCTCTCTTCGCCTGCGAATTCATTTTCTTAGCTGTACAACAGCAAATATATGTGTTATTTTTTATATATGTATGTGTACATTAAGTTCGTTAAACAAAATTACAATTGGTTATGGTTACTTCAACTAAACAGGTGAAGATTGGTAATACAAGTCAAGAAAATTAGGTGTTAATGAAATTAGTGTAGTAAGAAAGGTGATGAGTTGTCACAAATAGTTGTTAAAAGAAGTTATGTAATAATAGTATGGATAGTTTGATGAGTGAGTTTTACTCAGGATGCACATAGGAACAAAGTAGGTAATACGAAATTACGTCAGAGTTCTGAATGAATACAAGAATTATAAGCAATTAAAGAACAGGCAAACAAACAAAATTATGTCATCAAAATAAAAAAACTCAAATAAAATCAAAACAAAAAAATTGTTGCCATGACAGTAGAATTGGTTGAGTAATCTTCTTTTGTATGCACAGCTTCGGTTTTTCTATGCGAATGGCCAGAGCTGTATTACCAATCTTCACCTGTTTAGTTAAAATAACCATAACCAATTGTAATTTTGTTTGACAAACTTAATATACACATACATAAAAAATAACTCATATATTTGCTATTGTACAGCTAAGTAAATGAATTCGCAGGCGAAAAGAGACTCTTCGCTGATCTACGTGTTTTGTTTTCATTAATACCTGAATGGGGATTATTCATCAATTGGTGGTATGGCTCAAAATCGTTCTTAGTGATGGCGCAGATGCATTCACTGCTTGTGACTTATAATAATGGCTCCTTAATTAGCTCTCAGGATAGACGCCTTGAACGCTGGAAAGAACACTTTGAGGAACAATTTAACTTGCCTACAGCCACACTGAACCTCCCCGACATCCAACACACCCGAATGGGATATAGACACTGGTCCGCCGTCTGTAAGTGAGGTCACAAAAGCTATCAGTAATTTGAAACGAGGCAAAGCGGCAGGACCCGACGGAATTATTCCGGAGGTGTTTAAATATGGGGGTGACATACTAGTTTGTAGATTAACTGAGGTACTAGGCAAAGTCTGGGAATCAGAGACAGTGCCATCAGACTGGGGTAAGTCACTTATTATACCGATATTCAAGAAGGGAAACAAGTCCTCGTGTGATAATCATAGGGGGATCAGCCTAACGAACATAGTCTCTAAAATCCTAGGCTCAGTAATCATGCATAGACTAAGCAGAACTCGGGAGGAACAGACAAGGGAAAATCAAGCAGGCTTTAGACCAGGTAGAGGGTGCATAGATCATATCTTCACTCTTCGACAGATTCTAGAACATAGACACACTTTTCGGCGTCCAACAATTGTCATATTTCTTGACTTGAAGGCGGCCTTCGACTCCGTGGATCGAAAGGTACTATGGCAATGTCTGACTGTGAAGGGAGTGCCAAGAAAGTACATTGCACTAATCAAGGCACTCTATTCAAACTCACGTAGTCGTGTAAGGGCTTATGGGGAATTGTCATCTGAATTGGTAACAACCAGTGGTGTCCGACAGGGATGTCCACTTTCCCCATTTCTGTTTAACTTCATCATAGATATGCTAATGGAAGTATCCTTAACTGAACGTAGTGACTTAGGAATCGACTTGTTACCAGGGAATAATCTTATGGACTTAGAATATGCAGATGACATAGTCCTGTTAGGGGAGGATGCTGACAAAATGCAGAGTCTTCTGAACACCTTGAGCAGCAATCTTCGTATGTTTGGCATGCGATTCGCCCCTACAAAATGTAAGATGCTGCTACAGGACTGGACCACGTCAACTCCTAACTTAGTGATAGGGAGTGAAGTGATAGAACATGTTGACCACTTCACCTATTTGGGAAGTTGTATTAGCACCAACGGACTGATTGGCGATGAAATCTCAGCACGGATCCGAAAAGCTCGAGCTGCTTTCGCTGACTTACACCATCTCTGGCGTAGGCGTGACATCCGGTTATCAACCAAGGGACGTGTGTACTGCTCATCAGTTCGCTCCGTCCTTCTCTATGGCTCTGAAACATGGCCAATACGCGTTGAAGACATGAAAAGGTTGACTGCTTTCGATCATAGATGTCTGCGATCTCTGTCTCACGTTAGGTGGTTTAATAAGGTAAGTAATGTTGACGTTAGGCGTAGAGTGTTGGGCAAAGAGGGAAAATCAATCGACGAGGCTATAAAGTTACATAGACTAAGATGGCTAGGTCACGTGGTGCGCATGCCTAACCACCGCCTCCCCCGACGGGCATTGCTAGCTGATATAGGTGCAGGTTGGAAAAGAGCCAGTGGTGGCCAAACAAAAACATGGCATCAATCCATGAAATCCTTGACAGTTAAACTGAGTCAGGTAGGGAGATGCAGACTCCCGGGTTGGGGCCCTCGGGACTCTAGGAATCAATGGCTGGAGACAATAGGTGACATGGCTCAAAATCGTTGTCAATGGCGCAGATGTATTCAGTCTCTGTAATCTTTCATATTCCTTTCTACCATTACCCATTCTGTTTCACTCTTATACTTGTCAAACTCTATTGATTCTCTTCACTCATCTTCTTGTCTACCTCTGTGTGCTATTTGGAACGTGGCAACTCGAACTGCTGCACTTCGGTGCCAAGTTCTATGTTGAATCCAGACAGACAGACAGACAGACATTGAAAACCGAGGGGTACTGAACATCTGTTTCATCCTAGTTTGGGAATCATTGGCAGTACACACCCTCTGGGGCTCGAACCCAGGACCTTCCTGTTACAAGGCAATCTCCTATACCATTTAGCCATTGGGACTCGATTCAGTGGCCAGACCATGTATTTTAACTGAGTGTTATACGAGTTTGCTTTGTAACCGGAAGGTTCGGGGTTCGAACCCTGGCAGTGGGTGCGTATTGCCTATGATTCCCCAAACTAGGATGAAACAGCTTTGTAGTACTCCATGTAACTGGTTTCCACTGGTTCTCTAACTAATATTCCCCATAAATCAACTCTTGAAAATTAACGCAAACTAACTGTCTCAGATCACGTAGACTGATCCCAAGTTTTGATTTGACCACCACTCACTCTTTTCTAACCTGATGCTGCGTTAGTTAACACTACCCTTTGTCCAGGAAGGCGACACGTGTATAACACGTCTCTTAGCCATGTCAATCGATGTAGCCGTGTACAATAGTGTTGGAAAATGAGTTTATAAAGTGTGCACTTTATGCGATCAATATGATTATTAACTATACAGGAGTATTTATGTATGATGGAATCACTGGCAAAATACTTAAAAGAAGAATTTACTTTTCAAAGTACAGTTTGCTTAGATCTTCAAATTTTTCTTTTAGAATTTAAACAATAAGAAGCAATTCTCACATTGTGTCACTAGAAAGTAGTTCTGCTGCAATTATAAGCCATCTATCTCGTTTCATCATGTACGTGTTTATGTATATACGTTTATTGTCACCTTGCATACTTATTTTTTTTTGGTCAATGAAACGTGTCAGTTAAGTGTTACTCAGTAATAGCTGAGCTAAATCATTTTTCAAGTATTGATTTGTATGGATTTCATTGAGTGGTTACAGGATTTCATCGAATCCCTACTAACCAATACTTGAATATCCGTGAGATGCTCGCTAGCGACTGGTACCCTATTCAGAGGGGCTAGCTTCGCATATCCCAGTTTACGCCGACTCTGGAGTAGACGAGATGTTCAACTATCGACCAAAGGGCGGGTGTACTGCTCATCAGTCCGCTCCGTCCTCCTTTATGGATGGCTGTGAGAGCTAGCCACTGAGAGTGGAAGACATGAAAAGACTAGCTGTCTTTGATCATAGATGCCTGCGCTCTATTTCCCGTGTAAAGTGGCATAATAAGGTGAGCAACATTGAAGTTAGGCGTCGAGTTCTAGGTAAACAGGGGAAATCAATCGACGAAGTCGTGAAGTTACAAAGACTGAGATGGTTAGGACATGTGTTACGTACGTATGTCTAGTCATCGCCTCCCTCGACGAGCAATGTTAGCGGATATAGGGTCAGGCTGGAAAAGAGCTAGCGGCGGTCAAACAAAAACTTGGCCTCACCAGTCAATGAAATCCACAACAGTTGGTCTAAGCCACGTAGGAAGGTGTAGACTTCCAGGCTAGGGTCGTCGGGACGGTAAAAATGTATGGTTGGAAACAATTGGTGACATGGCTCAAAATCGTTCTCAGTGGCTAGCTCAGATGCATCCACTCCTTGTAACTTACGATCTCCAATGAACCTGTTTGGTTCTTCGTTATTA